TATATCTATTTACTAGTTACAATAGATTTTCCAACAACAGTTCAAGTAACATGAACAAGATTATTAAAATAACACAGCTAAACCGTTGGAAACTCTTAGCAATAGATCATCAGGAACTGAATAGCCAATTATTGATACAGTGAGCCTTCTATATTTACTAATTCAACCATCCAAGATTTTTTAAATCCCAAAAGCAAACCTTTATATAAGGAACACCATTTTACTACATCACTGCATATAATATGATTTAAGCATCCACTGATTTTGGTATCCACAGGGGGTCCTGGAAACAGTGATATAATTGCAGCACTGATTTCAAAGCAACACGGTATCCTAAAACAAACCCAATCAGGTCACTAGACCATAAAAAAACCCTCATATTTAATGCTCAACTATATACATTATTAATAAGAATACCCATCTAGAATTTCCATCTCGCTGCCCAGTGCATATTATTATTCACTGCTAGAGGTCATTTATAATCATGCATCTATATTTTACAGTACCCATAATTTATCCATACAGTAAATGTTAAATATTTACACAAATGATTAGCTACTGCCAGAAGAGACAAGAGAGTTTCATCATTGCTGATGATTGTGCCATCATCGCTCAAGCTTTGAAATGGTTGAACAGAAGCTCTCCGAAGCTTTAGGTGCTCTTACTGCCCATTACAGGGAAAACCAGCTGATTCCTAACCCATCTAAAATGCAGACGTGTGCTTTTCATATTAAGAACAGGCAAGCATCTCACACTCTGAGGATTACATGGGAAGGAAGCCCACTGGAGCATTGCAACACACCAAAATACCTGGAAGTCACTCTGGAACATGCTCTGACTTATAAGAAGCACTGCTTGATTACCAAGCAAAAAGTGGGTGCTAGAAATAATAACATACGATAGCTGACTGGCACAACCTGGAGATCACAACCAGTGAAGACATCTGCTCTTGTGCTTTGTCACTCTGCTGCTGAATACACATGTCCAGTGTGGAATCCATCTTGCCAAACTAAAAGTGGATGTGGCTCTTAATGAGACATGCTGCATTATTACAGGATGTCTACGCCCTACACCACTGGAGAAATTATACTGTTTAGTAGTATTGCACCACCTGATATCCATTGGGAAGTAGCAGCCAGTAATGAAAGGACCAAGGCATTGAAATCTCTGGCCCATTCTCTGTTTGGATATCAGCCAGCATGCCAACATCTTAAATTAAGAAATAGCTTTCTAAGATCTACAGAGATATTCGCAGGAACACCTCAGGAAGCAAGATTCCAAAAGTGGCAGGTTAAAACCAAAAACCTCATCAGTGGCTGATACTGGATGAGAAACTCCCTCCCGGGAATAAAGAAAACTGGGTGACTTGGAAGGTGCTAAACAGACTGTTCTCTGGTACCATGAGGTACAGAGCTAATATCAAAGTGGAATCCATGAGATGCGAATCTGGAGAAGTGCAAACCACAGACCACTTATTACAATGCAGTCTGAGCCCTGCTGCATGCACAATGAGGACCTTCTTACAGTGATACCAGAGGCATTTGAACTGGCCAGCTTCTGGTCAAAGGAAATATAGTATAATGCCAAGTTTTTAACTTTGTGTTTTTTTATACATTATAACTGTAATCTCTATTAGCTTCTTACATGATAAAAAAATGCATCCATGCAGTATCCATAAGACTTACAACCTGAATAAACTTTCTCCTCAGTCATTTTAGACGCCTCTAAAAGATGTATAACACAATAAACTTGTGAACACACCAATCCCTTTTTAATCTGTATAGCATGTAGACCTTGTGCCCATTAAATGCTTGTCAAGTTCTATCACCAAGCATCAGTTCACTAAAAGATATTTACTTCCCAAGGATGACGCAAGCATCTGTAAAGCTAGTGGGATCTGCTTATATGTATATTACATCCAAATTTAGTTGTTAATATAATATACTGCCACTTTTGTTAATAGAACTATTTCTGTATAAAATAAGTGAAAAACAAGATAGCGAAGGGTCTAACAACAAAGACAAATTAAGACAAATTAAGAATCATGATGGATTTTAGTAATTCTTAGATGGTTCTAGGGTATGGTAGAGACACTGTTTTGCAGCTGCAGGGAAGGGAGACACATGGACCTCAGGTGTTATTTCCACTGATATTCAGTTTTGCCGAAAACCTGGGGTACAGTTGTTACTTTAAATCTAGTAAGCACATTATTCACTGTACAATCTCAATGTGATTGCTTTCTCTGCATATGGCACAATATCCTCCTCCCTGTGAAGGACTATAGTAGCCACTTCACTTCTTTCCCCCCTTCCAACGCATTCATGTGAATATACATATTTCTGCCTAAGATGTATTTAGCTATCCTCTTATGCAGAGATCTACTATGATATACAAGTATATTGATCTGTGATTATATGCATATAGGCTCTTCAAAAAAAGGAACAGTACTGTACATTTAAAAGAAAACATTCAGCTCTGACCAAGTCCACTTTTTGGAGAGAATGATTACATGACTGCTGGCCCTTGGCACCCCACACCAATCCATTT